GTCGGGGCCGGCTGTCGGGGCGCCCTCGCTCACCTTCCTTCGCGGGGCCAAGGGGTGCAGGTGGCCCTGTGGGGCTGGGGCATGGGCAGGTGGGCGGCCGAGGAGCTCCTAAGGGGAAGGGAAGGAGATCCCAGGTCGTGCTTTCTTCTTCTCCTTCTTTTTTTTCATTTTCCTTTCTTTTTTTTTCTTTTTTTTTTCCTTTCTTTTTTTCTTTTCTTTCTCACAGCCAAAATAACAACTGCAGTCTGCTGTGCACCTGTAGTTCTGGGAAATGACTCCTCTTAAATCACTTAAACAGAGACATTTGCGTAGGTGCAGCCAATAATTTTCCTTAAAGCCATAACCAACCATTTTTTTCCTTTCTTTTTTTCTTTTCTTTCTCACAGCCAAAATAACAACTGCAGTCTGCTGTGCACCTGTAGTTCTGGGAAATGACTCCTCTTAAATCACTTAAACAGAGACATTTGCGTAGGTGCAGCCAATAATTTTCCTTAAAGCCATAACCAACCATAGTTGTACGGCTAATCCACTTAATTCTTTATATGCAACGTATTTGAGATGTGCCCAGTTTAAGCAATTGTTTCTTTATCCTTGTTAAGGACTTTTTTTGTGGAGCGGAGCAGGGAATCAGTAAGCAAATGTGCAAATGAAACCAGAAGTACTGTACCTATTGGTGACTGTTCCTAGACTTGTGAGCTTAAAAATGCTTTAGTGTCAGTTGACACTACGCTTTATACAAAGATAAAACTCAGAGGCTAAGAAAGAGAAAAATGCATTATCCTTGTGATGACATCTTGATGATACAGAAAACATTTCTGTATGTTTATGTATCCACTGTTCTCTCAGGATGCAACATCCCATTTCTGCAACTAAAATCTAAAGCAAAGGGTTTCCATCCTATTTTAAGCAATATCACACAAACACGAATCCATGTTTCTGTGTCATTTGCACAGTCTGGTCACCTCTTATGTTCAGATAATATATTTGTTTCCCACAGTGTTCCGTAAATTATACATTTTTAGAAACATGCATTTTATAAAGTTATGTAAAGAGGGTAAAAAGGCGAACATTATTTTCTGCTTACTTATTCCACATAAGTGGTGTACTTCCACACAGGGATATGCAGTATCAGAACTGGGTCTATGGGGTCAAATGAGAGATTTTAGTTGATATACTGCAGCAAATTTCTCTACTTTTTTTTTTTTTTTAGCTGATGTTTGGCTTTGAAAGTCTGTAACTGCTATCTGTTAATAAGTTAAGAACAGAGATATACATCAGTTGCAAACAGAGGCCTAATTTTTCGCTCAAGAGATGGAGCTGTGTAACAATCCATAACCTTACCTTTGAGATCTGGTAATGTGTACCCAACTCTGTCATGCTCTTCCCTAGAACAGAAAACTCACAATAGAGATACAGTTTGTTCATGCTATTAGTTCTGTGTTGCATATAATACATAGTTAGCAATTATGTATATTTTGAAGTTTTAAGGAATTACAAGTCTTTTAATTCTGAATGCAAAAATCTATAATAAAATGTGGTGTATAAAACAGAGTTTAAAAGGTAAACATTTTTTCCGATTTATTTTAAAACTTCTTCTGTTATAGTCAAAACAGTTATGCTTACAAAGATATTAACTGAAAGTATGAAAACCATCCAGTGTATCAGTATAACAGTAAAAATGCGTGGATTAGCAGGGTCTAGAGCTTGGCCACTTCGTTGTCCACTGGGAAAGCGCTTGCAACCACCTGTGGCCTTGTGGTAATACTTTTTTATAACTCTTCGATTTTAGATCTCTGATTTGAAAAGGTCCTGACCACCTTAAAACAGCTGTTTTATATGAAAAGTCTTCCCGATTTTCCACCAGGTGGCACTCGCCTATAAACATTTGTCCCGAAAAACGTTTCACAGTTCACCTCCTTGGTTTTCGAACTGTGTTCTGCTGAAAATGCTTATGTTTTAATACTCTTCTCAATGCTTCTATGGTTAGGACAAGTAGTTTAAAGTTTTCCTGTCCTTATTATATAGTATCAAAGGAAGTGTTTTAATAAAGTGGCACCTCCTCCACGATTGCCCCCTTTTCCTCTTATTGCTAATGTGCTGCTGTAAATGTCAGTTAGGCATATAAAGGATCTGCACCAAGTGAGCATGAAACCGCTTGTAAAGGAACAATAAAAATTATAAGCAAAACGTTTGGTTCATAATGAATGTGTAATGTTGCCACATACTGTGAGTATAGTCTTGGAAGTGCTTAAAGTTGTGCATGTGGATAACCCTAGTAAGTTTATGATTCAAGACAAGAAAGCCTGTGTACCTGTTTTTGTAGGACTGGGCTCAAACTCAAATCATGTTTTGTCTAAATCAAGAGCCATGTTATATTTATGGGTTAGGGTTATATTTGAAATCTAAAACTTATGAACTTTTGCTGAATATCACTTAAAGGGATGAAAACCTAGAAAAATCATACAAAACTTCTCAGTTTTTAAATAAATTTCTAGTGCTTCTTGGAGGAAAAAAAAAACTATCAAGGAAAAATGTGTAAAGAAATTGTAGAGCAAAGTAAGCCACCAGATGGAGCTATTAGATCATTGTATTTTAGTTTACACTGCAAGAACAGTTTTTGGGGGATTAAACATAAAAAGCGGTGTTGGTATCAGAGCAGTATTAACAGTGGTGCAGTTTAAATTTCTTTGCCATTGTTTGTATAACTGCTGTTTCCAAAATTAAAAAACACATTTCCAGACTATTTGTCTCCATTCTAGTAAATGGTAACATCCTTCAAGAGTTGCTATTATTTAAAATTGAAACAGCAGAGGGCACATTCGGCCTACTGAAAGGGATGAAAGACTGTTGGGGAAGCATTTTAAAAAAAATCCCCCAAAGAACCCTTCTGATAAGCTTAAACTAAAATATTTTGTCTAAAATTAATCTAGTTTTGCAGTATCACTGTTAGTGATTACTAAAACCTTCACCTGTAATCAACACTTCTAAGCACTTTCTCACTAGTTATTGAGCAGTAAGAGTGGTTTGGCTTTGTAGAGAGGAAGGAAATTCATTGTCATTCAAGATGAATGAATGTAGTCAACAAGATATGTTGTGAAGACTGTTTAACTGTGATGTCTTCTCTGATCTGTGACTTCTTAGCTTACTTTTTTCCATTATTGATTTCAATATCACTAACACTTGATTTTTATTAAATGGTGTAACATGAGATGAGAGCTTGGGATAAGAGAGAAAACCCTCTAGTTCTGCCTAAATGTTTTGATAATCAGTGATAACAGGAAAAACAAAACAAAGTTCACTTTAATAGCTAGCAGAAATTTTCTAGAGGGGGAGGAGGGGAATCATGTGATTCCACACGATCATCGATTTCCCCAAATTTCTCCTTTTTCATGAGCTAACAATTAAAATTACTGGGAAAATAGCTACAGAAATTTTGGGGACCCCCAAATTTTATTCCTAAATAGCCTACATAAGGACTGTACGCACTCAAAATGAAGCCTTGTCAGTTCTTTCTGCTTTCCCTTAGTAAACATTCATCAAAGCTGGATTCAATGGGAACTCAGTCTACCTCTGTGCTGCATCAGTCAAACATTTTGTTATTCAGCAAGTGTAATGCAACAACATTTTGGATTCAGGATTTAGGTTAGTTCAATTTATACCAGTAAAGTCAGCCAGGAAGGCAGATTTAGTCTAAACTCATCGACATTTGTAGAAATAAGAATCTACTTATTTGGTGCCAGTCCTTATTTAGATCACAAAGATATTTTATGTAGGTATTTTGCACTAACACAATACCACCCCTGTGACTTTAATACAGTTAAAACCATTAAAACTGATGATATAATTTATCACTTTTACAGTTTTTTATTGGGCACAGATGGGGCATAGGTAATTCAGGTCACCTGACACATCTAGTAAAGACCATCAGCGGCCAAACTCGCTTTTTCAGTTGAGTTTTTCCTACATCTTTTTCATGCAAGTTTTTACTACCATTTTATCCATTTGACTGCTTCTGAAGCATAGTGAAAAATATATTGAGTTTTGTCCATGCTAAAATGTTTTCAATCATTTTATCATTAGGCAGGAGTGGAGGGGAATGGAAAAAGGAGGGCAAAAGTCAGAGCATTTCGGGACTGCAGCCTGGGGTCTTAACATCGCTTTATTGTTTATCAGGCAGCTGTAAAAATCCTGGAATAACCTGTAGCTCTCAGCCTTCTTCTAGTGTTATAGCCACAAGTCTTAGTCTTCTACTGCCACTAATAGTAGGTTAGAGCAGATGATAGCGAGGGTGATGTGGAAGGTGCTGCTCACTGATGTGAAGTGCGGTTCATTCTGTGGCTGAGTACACTCAAACCAGGGTGGCTATATATTGCTAATAGTTTATCCTGATGGATGTGCTTGAGCGGCTTTGGCTCTGTGAGGAAGCATGCCTCAGTCTTGACCAAGAGTGGGCCACATATGTAGCAGTACATCTAACTCGCTTCTGTAGTATCCATATCTGATCAAGGACTTCAAAGGCTGTTAGCAGCAAACGCGCTTGTGCTTGTTAGAACCTGTGAGCTAATGTGTTTTAAGTAATATATTCTAAGACTAGTGGAGGCAAAGCTGTGCATATATTTGATACTAGTTTTCCGTATTAGATCAACACCTAGGGGTTGGCTTAGCATTTGGTTTTATGTTAACTTATCCCCCCAGTAATCATCAGTCACATACCTTAGCAAAAGTCTCTTATCAAAGTATGGTAATTCTGAAGATGGAAGTTTGCATAAGAATGTGAATTGAGACATGGCTGTATCACAAATCCACAGGCAAATGGTTTAAAAGACTCTTGAGGGAGTGACCCGTGTGTATCTCACTTTCTGGTGGCAGAAGTAGTCCTGTCAAAGAATTTGTGTCACCATCTAAGTTGCCTGTGAACAGCTGCCCTAAATCCAAATTTTCATGGTCAAAACAACTGCTAGAGTCAAATGTACAAAAATCTCTGTAGAAAGAAGGGATCAAATAAAAGGAATCAGGCAAAACAAAACGTTGCATTATACTACGTCTGCTAAAGTGTTTCAGAAGTTAAATATAACCATAACATTGGCTGCAAAGTCCCTCAGCAACTGGCAATGAGAATGAAGCACATTCATGCATACCCTGAGCTCCACGGACATTTTGATATTTTTATCACACTGCAGTTTCAATAGATACCACATTTTCTTAGTGTACTTTGGACAGAGGATTTCACATGCGCTGCAAGAAGTTTTACAGTTTCCATGGAAGTCCTCATAATGAAAACTCATCACTGTACCTACCTATTAGTGCTTTTTTTACCTTCAACATGTCTATGTGATGTAGAAGACAGTTGTCCACACTTAGGAGATGGGGGACGGAGCGCAGGACACACTGATTGCAAGGAAGTTTCCATCTTACTGCACTATGCACTGCTTGCTGGTGTCCTGGTCTAGCTGGACATGGGTTGGTCTTTGTGACCAGAGCCTATATGGTGCTGATATTCTGTATACCAAAATATAAACAAGTTTGAACACAAACAGGAAACCATTTTTTTGCAGAGCTACGTTTCAGCCTGGGCCTTTCCCTCAGCCTAATTCTAGCACAGCCACATGACTGATGCGCTGCAGCAAGTGGTGGAAACAGGCAGCTCGGCTGAGCAGGTGGAGGAACAGCAAGGAACCCCAGGGGTTGGTGTTGCGGTGCTACCGTGGCTGGGTTCATCAGCTCCGTGCAATATTGCTTCCAGACCTGAACTGCCACATACCCATAGTCTTGCACGGAGCTTGGCTTGCAAGTGGATTTACTAATGTGAGGATCCATTTTACTAACCTTCCTCTTCTTCCTTGCATTCTCCCTGTATGTTTTTGATAGCCCAATTTGCATATTTTACCTAATCTATATTTTTGTTTCATCCCCTTTTACCCCACCCTTCCTCCTCATTACGCTGGATAATCAAGAGTTGGCAGTATGTATATTGGACAAAGGGCACAAAACATTAAGGAAATGATTAACCACTCTCTGCTCCCCCAACAATTTGTATATGTGTTTAGACCCATCAGATCCATGCTTTGCTAGTTGCTGAATTACGAGGGCTTTCCTCCTGAACTGTGCTTCAAACTCCAGTTCCTGGCATTTATCGTGGTCTCTATTGACTTGTTCTGTGAGGGTCTCACTCTGCCTCCCTCTCTCTTTCCCCAAAACCCTTACCTTTCCTGATGGGTCTGAAGGTCTCTGCTGTTGGATAAATGGCCTTTGTTGTAGCACTCATGCGAAACCATTTTTGCCTGATACAGGTTTTTTTTCCTTTTGAATACCCATACCATCCAAGAAAAGAAGTTAGAGCCATTCTAATTGTGGCTATGAGTTCACGTATGTGGGGTCTGTGTATTATCTGCTTTCTGTTACAGTGCAACACAATGCTTGAGGTTACCTAAAAACAGTATTTAAGGTACAGACTTATATTCTTGACAGCAATATTATGCTAATTGCAATAATCACAGTAGTGTTCAAAGTGTTTGACTGCAAATTTTTCACTTTTTCTTTAATTTAGAGAGTGGGTGTTGCCTTCCTACATTTTGTAAAATGTTTTTCTTCTGTTACTGAAATGAAAGGGAATTCCCCAGCCACAAGCCCTTAGGGTATTCAATGGACTTTATAGTTAGATATCTTGCATGTTAATATACTAATATCTTCAGTTCCTCTGTCACCTTTGGTGATACTAGATAATGCCCAACTTGTTCCACAGTGGTGCCTGACACAGCATTAAAAGTATTGCTCAAAACAGCCAAGGATAGATATTGCTATACAAGGAGTCCAGAAGCACTCTGACATCATCTAGAAAAGGTGAAAAAGATTGAAGAATGTCAGTCATGTTTCAAACATGTGAGCCACCCTTGTGATAACTGCATGCTGAGGACAACTCTTTTGAATTTATTTTGTGGTTATCAGCGGAGTGTAGAACTGACCTTTTTGCCTTTGCCTTTTGAGAGAATGATGGCGACTTTCCTTCTCTGTCTTCTTGCACTGAGATTGCTAAAAAGTGTGTTATGTATGTCATAAAGTATATGTATTTCATAAAGTATATAAAGTTGATACATGGAAACCCAGCACTGCCAGATATTGTGAAAAAACAAAACAGAATTTCTGCAAACTGTGTGGGACCAGGAGATGCTACTCTTTCTGTCAATGTTGGCACAGAGATGGATGTTATAAGCACTCTTAACCTTTTCAATGTGTATTTTATGCCCTACTCTTGCATACTAGTTCCTGATTGGTGATTGTCATCTTAATTTCTGCCTTAATTTTCGACAGGAAGCTATATAGACTGAACAGCCACTGACTTCCTTGGGCCTTGCATCAGAATTGGGAAACACCATTAGAGACTCCTCAGTTTACTGTTAGGGCTCTGTTTCTGAAGTCTGGGGCTTAAAACCAACACACACCGGTAACCATTCGAGCAGTAAATGGGGCAATGCCTTCATTACTCAAAAAGCAGAGTGACAATTTGGGGAGAAAAGTGGTACAAAATCCAGCAACAGTTGTGCATCTCTGCATGTAGCCCTTGAATAATAAGCCTCATGACCTCTGAACTTTACTCTTTTAAAAAGAGGGATTTTAATGCATCTGTGCAGCTTTTATAAGGCCAAGAGATTTTGCTAGTCCCTAGGTTCCCCAGCAATACCTGCAAGGAATTGTAATGGAGATCAGCTGCTAGCTTCTATCTCGCTGCCAAACTGGACCTGCATCACAAGTAGAGAAATGCTAGCCAGCCAAGCATGAAATACTCTTGCCTGCATTTTTTTTTTAATTCAGAGCTGATGGAAATAACATGCAAGCAAGTAAAAATCTCAACAACACATACCTCAAGAGAGAGAACCTTAAAAGGCTGTCTCACTTAACAGCAAATTTGGGGGTTTGCATCATGCTCTTTATTTAGGTGCTTCGATCCAGGCATTCGTCAATTTATCCCATGACCTAAGCAAATATTTCAGAAATGCTAGAAGAGATTATAATGCAAAGTCATGGTTTTAAGCGCATTTCTGGGTGTGCTTCTTCAGCAGTTGCTGTATACCAAAATAGGGTAAGATGTCTTTGTAGTCCCTGGGAGACTTAGCTCTGCTATAGACTTCTTTAGAGACCAGGAGCAAATCACCTAAGCTCAGGTGCAACAAATGTCATAAATATGTAAAAATCCAGTTACTGAATCCGGTAGCTGGGTAGACTCCATTTTTAAAAAGCTTCTCAGCTTTTAGGAGCCCTAATTAATTACCTCTTTCCAAATACTGTATTTTGGGCTACCTCATTGTGCTTATATGGTTCCCAAACAAGCAATTCACAGTCATTAAAGAATATCTCAAAATCTGCTAGCAAGTGTTCTCTACCTTTAAGAGCTAGGAAACTGAGGCATGAAGCGATTCAGTAGCTCATTGACAGTAAGACAAAATACTTTTGGCAGATTGATGCAATTCGTACACATTTGCAGAGCCTCCAGTTCTGCCATATCTTTCTTCAGCAATTTAAGACATTCAGGACAGAGCTCAGTGTTGCTAATCTGCTCTTGTTCTTCTGTAGTTCCGGCCCTGTTTTGAATAGGGCAGGGGATGGCTACGTTGAGTTTTTCTTCTGCTTTCGATCTCTCTTGTCTTCTAACCTTAGACTGGACTGTCAAAGTGCTTCTTTCCGCTTACTTAATGTTGGGGGGGAAGTAAGCCAGAAATATTTATTTACTCTCAGGTACAAGGATGCATAAGTCAGAAAGAGTTGTTTAAGTGTCTTTGGATAGAGCAGACACCTGAAAGGTTTCCTTCACGTCCGGACATATCCATAGGTCAATGCCGAGATGTTAGTGTTACTCACAAGGTCAGCTGAGTTAGAGACAAGACTTCATCACAGACTTTGCCTGATACATGGAACAAATTACTAAATCTCTCAGTTTTATCAGTGAAATGGGTCAAATAACAAAGGTTGTAACACTAATCTTCAGCGAAGAACTATAAGGTACTCCGATTAAAAGTGCCACAGAAAGGCAACCTAGAATTACATCCTTTTGTTTTCACTTTCTAACTCCTTGTTTCCATTGTCTTTTCTCTGACCTCAGTGACATGATCACCTTCTTCCCTTTTGTCTTTTCCCTCTAACTAAGCCCCTTCTAACCTAGAGGGCCAGAAAGGAAACAATAGAAGCAATGAAGATCACTGAGATAGTATGATATTTGCTGCTATCACAGAAACTAATATCCTCAACTTTTCTCTTTTGCCTATATACAGTGCATGATTTTCCAAACGTGCAAAAATCTAATACCTGGTTCTCTATTTGGGAATTAAATGCCTGAAAAATAGGAGATATAATTATTTTGAATAGGTTGTGTTGATGATATCCCATTTTCAGTTGTCCCTTGCTAACACTTTCTCTGCTCCTCTGAACAGAAAGCAGTCAAGGTTAGGAGGCCTCTTACCGGCCTCTGTTTCTCTCTGTGCAAATGCACTTTCTGTTATCTGTGGTTACTGCATTATTCCATCAAATGAGTACTACACTCAGTATTCTCCCTTCTGAAAAAAGTTGATGTCAACATGCATCAACATTTGGAGAAATCTTACAAAAAAAAAAGAAAAACCTAGAATCAGAGAGGGATGTATTCATTTGAAAAACTGCCACAGGGTTACTAGAAACTATGATCATAACAACAGCTCTTAAAATTATGGAAATGATTAAACTGATAAAATACCGAGCAGTCTGAACATTGGAACAACAAACTAGATCAGACCAGCAGCCATTAGCAGAAAGAGAACTGGGGCAGTATGGTCCTTTGCTACTCCCTCCACTTTTGGGAAGATTTTACATTACTGTCATAGTTCAGTGCACAGTCACACTTGTTATCTCTCCAGCCTAGCTGGAGCAACTCGTGAGCCACTCCTCAGGCACATAACCTTATTTACACAACCGCATATTAAGACTATTAATAAACGTTGACCACATGAACAAACTCTATTGCAGTGATGTAAGACACAGCTCAACTGTATAATGTTAACGAAGCGAACTTGAGCAGTTGTGTAGGCCCCAATCCTGGAAATATTTACTATAGGCTTAAGTTCTAGCATCTTAATAATGCCTCGAGAGTTTGCATGATTGAAACCTTAATAAAATACTAGATAAAATATTGTATTTATGCATAATAATAAAAGGAGCATGTGCAATTACTTACAAAAGAAGGGAAGTTTTTAAAAGAAAACATTCTTCCATCCATCGTCTATGTCAGTTTATACCATAGAGACTATAAGAGCACAGCAAGAAATAAACAAATCCTGGTAAACCAATACCCAGATTCATGCACTTTCCCTTTTGTTACCAGCAGGTCTTCTAGGGGAGGAAAAGGGGGCAATAATTTCCAGTGGGCATAACATTAAGCACATGAACAAATGTTTGCAAGAATGGCTTGAGATACCAGTTGATATGCTACATTTACTATACTACCAACTCATTTTTACATAGTATGGCACAAGATATGTTATTGCTTTGGATCATAAAGAACTAAAATCAGGGAGCATGGGATGTTCATGAAACCTTTTAATTCTTATATCTACAAATATTTTGGGGAACTCACAGCATGTATGATTGACTGGTTCAGACTGCCAAATACATGTTTTAAGGTTAAAAGTTATACTTAAGGCAGAGGTAGGGGTTTGGGTGTATGATTAAGGGTGACCAAGAAGAAATTTGCAGTTTCTGAAATGTCTCAAGTCTTCTAGAAATATGTGGGCCTAAGAAGGGAGAGCAGGGGTGAGGTAAGCATGAGAAAAGTTTTTTCCTGTAATATTGTATCTACAAATTAACCTCAGTATTTTGACTATCATTCTCACATTGTCTAGTTCCTCCTCCTGTTTATTTAGGGAAATATTAATTTTAATTCAAAATATATTTAAATACTTGATTAAGATATTGTGGACAGAAAAATGCATCATAATTTTACATGGAATAATTTTTTTTATGGAATAAGTAATTTTATACCTGTACAAATGCAGCCATCATTTCTGCTCAGAAGCTAGGCATAGTAGGAGCAAGCATTATATACCCTTACTTGTTGGTAATACACTGTGCTGTTGTGAAAAAGACACTGTGCTGGGTCCGCTGTCTCGTTTGGTCTTCTGATCCCTGGGGTCCCCAGGGAGTACAGCTGAGGCAACACGCAACCCAAAATTCTTCGAAACAACTACGTTGCCAGCCTGGAGGAGGAACTGTGGAGAGCAGCCTCCTTTCTCCACTCAGCTGCGTGCTGAAGTCT